AAAACATTGCAAAGTATGAGTATTCCAGAACACTTAATCATGCTCATGAGAAATCTGTACCTGGACCAAGAGGCAGTTGTTCTAAAAGAACATGGGAACACTGAATGTTTTAAAATTAAGAAAGGTGTGTGACAAGGTTGTATTCTTTCACCATACTTATTCAACCTGTCTGCTGAGCAAATAATCTGAGAATCTGGGTTCTATGAAGAAAAACATGTCATCATGATTGGAGGAAGATTCATTAACAACCTGCAATATGCAGATGATGCAACCTTGCTTGCTGAAAGTGAAGAGGACTTAAAACATTTACTGATGAAGATTAAAGAGCACAGCCTTCGGTATGGATTACATCTCAATGTAAAGAAAAGAAAAATCCTTACCACTGGACAAGTAAACACCATTTTTAGCAATGGAGAAAAGATTGAAGTTGTCAAAGACTTCATTCTTCTTGGATCAACTATCAACACTCAGAAGCAGCAGTCAAAAAATCAGATGACGTATTGCATTAGACAAATATGCTGCACAAGACCTTTTTAAAGTGTTGAAGAGCAAAGATGTCAGCTTGAAGACTAAGGTATGCCTGACCAAGCCATGGCATTTTCAATAACCTCATATGCATGCAAAAGTGGACAGTGAATAAGGACGATGGTAGAAGAATTGATGCTTTTGAGTTGTGGTGTTGGAGGAGACTATTGAAAGTGCCATGGGCTGCCAAAAAAACCAATAGATCCATTTTGGAAGAAGTGCAGCCAGAGTGCTCCTTGGAGGCCAAGATGGCCAAACTTCATCTGTCATACTTCGGACATATTGTCAGGAGGGACCAGTCACTGGAAAAGGAAGGATATCATGTTTGGTAGGGTGGAGGGTCAGAGAAAAAGAGGAAGTCTCCTAATAAGATGGATTGGCCAAGTGGCAGCATCGATGGACTCAAGCATGGCAACAGTAGTGAAGTTTTCCTAGGATCGGGCAGTGTTTTGTTCTGTTGTGCATAAGGTCACTATGGGTCGGTGCCAACTCTATGGTGCCTAACTACAACAACAACAACATCATCACCAGTGATATCAAGTCAGTTCTGACCCATGGTGACCTCGTGTGCATCAGAGTAGACATGTGTTTTATAGTTTCCGGTGACTGTGATCTTTCCGAAGCAGATTGTCAGGCCTGCCCTCTGTGACGTCTCTGAGTGAATTCAAACTACCAACCTTTTGGGTTATAGCCAAGCACTTATCCATTTGCACCAACCAGACTCCTTTTTCTCTACCTGCTGTTGTTGTTAGGTTCTGTTGAATTGGTTCCAACTCATAATGACCTTATGCACAACGGAACAAAACATTGACCTTTCCTGTATTATCCTCACAATTTTTATTATGCTTGGCTTTATTGCTGATGGTATTGTGCCAATACATTTTGTTGGGGCTCTTCTTCTTTTTCACTGACCCTCCATTTTATCAAACATGATGTCATTTTCCAGGGACTGTCTGAAATATGAGAGATGAAGTCTTGCCATCCTTGCTTCTAAGGAGCATTCTGGCTGTACTTGTTCTAAGACAGATATGTTTGTTCTTCAGGCAGTCCACAGTACTTTGAATATTCTTACCTAAAGCCATAATTTAAATGCATCAATTGTTCTATAGTCTTTCATATTCATGTTGGAGAAATCTCAGATCAATGATGAAAATGTAGATGTGTTGCACTTGTCTGGGATCCATTCACACAGAGCTGCAGCTCTCTCAGAGACCACTTTTGTCCCCATTAATCATGTATGTTCCTTCAAGAACAGCCAGAGACTTTACCTAAAATAAAGTGCATATGTCCACTTAACCATAATATTGGAAAGATGGCATGAAGATCTAAAAAAGATAACACCTATTCTTTCATTTTTAGAGGGACCTGAAAACTTGAAGAGGAAAGGGACAGCCATCACTTTGTGCTCTTGCCATGGTGGAGACAGCTCATCTCTCCATGAATTCATGTTGAAGACTTTGGACAGCGGCATATGCCATTAGTGGCTTGCTTTCTGGAATTAATAGCAGAGCCACAGGAAGGAGCATCTTTCCATTCTTCAATACCTAGGATCGACGATTTCTTACACCTCCAAAAAACCATTAGGGCATTGGACTAAAATGAACTTGAAGTTCCTTTCTGACCTTCACTAAGAACAAAAGCAGAAATTCCTCCACATACTACCTTTCCCACCTGTTCATTTCAGTTTCCCTACAGGGGTTGTCCAAAATTACTGATAAGACAGGCAAAAGTCATGTGAAAAGGGATTGACAGTCACTTGGTGAAACAAGCTTCCACACTCAGCGACATGAGCACAGTCACTGTGAATTTAGCTCTCAGCACATTCTTATCTCTAGGAACAAGAACCAAACCAACATTTTCTACTTCTAACATCTTATTTCATAAGTGGGGAGCTTATGCTATTAAATGTTCCTTTTAATGATTATTTTCATTATTTCTTTATAGGTTTCAGTGCTTGATGTATTATTGTCCTTTTTTCCCCCAAAGAAGTTATTATATCTTCTAATGCATTCATTAATTGGAGTTTGATGGGATGAATAGTAACTACTCATCTAAATTGCAATCATGAGCTTAGTTCCAGAGGCTTGTTTACTTTTATCTCATCTATGATGTGACGCTGTGGATAAATGTGCCAGACTGCAAAGCCATTTGAACTGCAAAGTCGGTGTTTCAAGCTCACCAGCTGCTCCTTGGAAACCCTATACAGGGTCGCTATGGGTTGGAACCCACTCAATGGCACTTAGCAACAATAACATATATCTTAAGAATTTTTCAATTTTCTGTTAGAACAGATTTCTTAATAGATCAGGATTATCTCATACTCTATCATAAGACTCAGAGCAGAGTAAGAACAGGTAAAATACTGGGGTAAGACAGGAACCATTGAAGTTGCACACAGCATGTACTGAAGGCAGGTAGAATAGATCACACATCATCAAGAGCACAATGACTTCCCTGTCTTCAGTACAAGTCCTATTAATCACTCATGCACCTGCAGACTTAGAGACCCCTTTAAGTTAACCATGTACCTTCTGTAGTTTCTATAACACACACACCTGGCCCACGAGGGGCTACTTGTTCATTGGTGCTTTCTCACAAATCAGTCATAATATGAACCAGTGGCTTTGCTTTGAGGCAACAATGGGAGAGAAGGGTAAGTTTAAGAGAGAACAGAGATGAATTCAGGTGTCTTGTGGAAAGAAGCAGCTCCAGGGAGCTATGAGAAGACAATGGGTCTCCTGGGATGTGTAGGAGATTGGAGTTGGAGAAGACAAGGGTACTGTGTTAGTTATCAAGTGCTGATGTAAGAAATACCATATGTGGATGACTCTAACAAATAGAGTCATCCACATATGGTTATTTTTTCCCCCTCACAATTTAGGAGGCAAGAAGTCCAAATTCAGGGTGCCCATTCTAGAGGACGGCTTTGTCTTTCTATTGGCTCTAGAAGAAGGTCATTGTCTCTTCAACAATACTTCCTGGTTCCTTGGAGAGCTCCATGTGACTTGGCTGTCCACTCCCCCATGCCTACTTCCTAGCTTGCTTGTTTAATCTCTTATATTTCTCAAAAGAGATTGATGCAAGATATATCCTACAACAACCCGGAATTATTTACATAACAAAGACACCCCATTCCCAAATGGGAGTATAACCACAGGCACAGAGGTTAGGATTTGCATCACATATTTTGGAGGGGAACATAATTCAGTTCATAGTAGATGCTAACGGTGAGTTGGCCACTTAACAACTGTATTTGGATTCAATCCACCATGTCAAAGTCACTACACAGACATCTGTGTATGTCAGAAAATAACAAGATTATTTTCAAGTAGTTTTGCCCATCTCTCTCTGAAAGAGTGATAGCTCATGCATTGCTGATCCAAATTGTGAAAAGAAAAAGATAAAAACAAGTGTCATATACAGTAGTTTCAACTGAGAAAACATGATTAGCTTCTCTGGGATAAGCAGAAATTTTCAGCTGACTGTATTTTCATCCTTCTTGAGTTGTTACTGAGTTTTGCTATGAGACACTTAATGTCTTACAATCTTCTTTGAAAAAGCCTTGGCCAATAAGAAACCAAGCCAAAAACATTACTGGTTGCTGTTGAGTCAACTCTGTCTCATGGTGACCCCATGTAGTGCAGAGTAGAACTGTGCTCCATACAGTTTTCAAGACTCTGGTCTTTTTTCAAAGTTGATCACCAGGACTTTCTTCTGTGTTGTCTCTGGGTGGGTTTAAATTACTACCTTTTAGTATTCTAACTTAACTGGTGGTAGTCTAACATTTAACTTAGTAGTCTAATACTTAAAATGTGTATGTTTTTGCTGACAGTAATTAATCAGTGTGGACAGTGTATTGGACCCATTCTATGCATGTTTCATAAGTAAACCTGTTTGATCTTCACAACCCCCTATGAGACAGGGACTGTCATTACCTCTGTGTTGTAGATGAAGACAGTGGATTGAGGGAGAAGGGAAATGACTTTCTCAAGATCATAAGCTGGTCGGTGGGTACCCAGGATGCAGACCAGGTACGGCATACCAAAATAAAAACAATATGCAAAGAAACAGTCAAACCGACATGCCACACACAGGGTGGACTGGCCTCCCTTAGCTGACTTAGACCTGAAGAACATCTGTGGAAAGGCCATGACCAGAGTTGGCCAATGAATGAATGAGTGGAAGAGCCCTCATCTGCCCTGTGTCTAAGATAGGACCAAGAGAATCCCTTCTCTCTCTCTCTCTCTCTCTCTTTTTTCTCTCTCTCTCCTTCTACCCTCTCTGTACATGTTTCTCTGTGTCTCTTGTTTCCTCTTTCCTTTCTCTCTTTTCTTTCTCCTTACTTCCCTTTGTCCCCCTTCTATCATTAGACATTTTAGTAATTTATATATTGCTGTTAAGTGCCTTGGAATCAATTCTGATTCATAGCAACCCTATACAGGGTTTTCAAGAATCAGCTGGTGAGTTTGAGCCACCGACTTGTGTAGTTTGCAGTCCTGTGCTTACCCTACAGTGCCAACCAGTGTCTGATATAGTTTTCCTTTTAAATATTTTAAAAAATAGTTGTTGGGTGCCATTGAGTCACTTTTGACTTATAGCAACCCTACGCACAGCAGAACGAAACACTGTCAATAGGCACTGTCCTCACAATCGTTGTTACATTTGATCTCATTGCTGTTGTCACTTCATCATCTTGTTGATCTTGTTGGGGGTCTTCCTCTTTTTGCTGACCCTCACTTTACCAAACATCAACAGTTCATCTTGTTGGGGGTCTTCCTCTTTTTGCTGACCCTCACTTTACCAAACATGATGTCCTTCTCCAGGGACTGGTCCCTCCGATAACATAAGGCACACCTTAGTCTTTTTTTTTTTTTTATGCATATAATTTACTTTTTTTTCATTTAATTAAACTTTGAAATAAGAACTCATCAAGAGAACATAATGTTAAAATAAAAGTATACAAAGGTAAACGTTTTCTAGTTGTGAATAAAGTACACCATTAAAGGAAAAATATTTCAAAATATTACTTACTTGCAAAGTCTAGGTCGACACGTTTAAGATTATTGATGTCATGCTTCAAAGCTATGGCTGCTAAAATCTTGTCCATTCAGTCATAGAAGAGGCAAATTATAAATGAAATAAATGAAGCTTCAGGATCACTATTACATACTGTCCTCAAAATGTCTTAGAAGTAGTTCAAACACAACCTCTGGATAATTTGCACAGAGAGACACTTGAAATTACATGTTGGGACTACAATTTCTGCAATTAATTTAATTCTGCTCAGGGCCAGTAAGATCTAGTCTGGAATAGGATATTAAGGTTGATTTTTTAAATGTGAAAAATGCCTATTTGCTACAGACTCAGCTCAAAGCATATTAATGTTTTAGAATGTGGTAAAGATGTGATAGTCTCCCATCCTTGCATCTAAGTCTTTAAACTGACATCTTTACTCTTTAACAATTTAAAGAGATCTTTTGTAGAAGATTTGTCTAATGCAATATGTAATTTTTTTCTTGACTGCTGCTTCCGTAAGTGCTGATAGTGGATCCAAGCAAAATGAAATTTCTGAGTACTTCAATCTTTCTTCCATTTATCATATTGTTAGTGGTCCAGTTGTGAGGATTTTTGTTTTACATACATTGAGGGACAACCCATACTGAAGGCTGTAGTCTTTGATCTTCATTAGTAAATATTTTAAGTCCTTTTCACTTCTAACAAACAAGGTTGTATCTTCTATATATTTCAGTTTGTTAATGAGTCTTCCTCCAATCTTCATGCCTCATTATTCCTCAGTTTCTCAGATTATTTGCTCAGAATAAGTAAGGTGAAAAGATACAACCCTGGTGCACACTTTTCCTAGTTTTGAGCCATTCAGTATCCCCTTGTTCTGTTTGAATGATTGGCTCTTGGCCTATGTACAGGTTCCTGAAGAGCACAAATAAGTTTTTTGCAATATTCATTCTTTGCAATATTATCCATAGTTTGTTTTGATCCACACAGTCTAATGCTTTTTCATAGTTAATAAAACACAAGTAAATATCGTTATGGTATGCATGTAAGTGTGTAAGTGCATGTGTGAGTTAGTGTTGTAAATATGATAGGGATAATGTATATGAGTGCATATATCCACATAATAGGGTGGCTTTTATACAAGGGTAAGTAAAGTATTGCTCCTAGGGTTCCAATCATACATGTATGGGTTTCTTCCCCAGGTTTAAACACGTCTCCACAATTAATGGATGACAACAGATAAGTTCTTTCTCTAATACACTTGTTCTAATTAAGGAGCTCTGGTAGCGTAGCGGTTACGAATTGGGCTGCGAACCTTAAGGTCAGCAGTTCGAAACTACCAGCTGCTCCGCGGGAGAAAGATG